TCGCGGCTCCTAGCGTCTGGGCAGAATGCATCGGGTGCGCGGCTGGGCCAGCCGCCACCCAGCCCAGGACCGCTGGGGGTGGAGCCTCTGGGGGCGGGGCTATCTGGGTGTGGCTAGCGGTGGGCGGGGCGGGGGCGGGGCCCAGGATCCGAAGATTGTAAAGTGTGGGACCACTTGGAGAGTGGGATTAAAAGGGCATCGGGGCGTGGAGCCGGCGAGGTGTGAGAGCTTGGTGGGGCCTTACGGGGGTGGGCCTTCGTGTTGGGAGCGGAGCCCTAGGATCCTGTGGGAGAGACACTGTGCTGGGCACGGTCATCGGGGTCCGGGACCATGGCTCACGTACGTAGAAACAAGAAAAAGACCCAGGAACCCCGGTGCAAGGCTTTGGAATCCTGTAGCGGGGCTACGTTTGTAGAGCACTGGACTCCAGGGCCAGGACTTGAGTTTACCAGCTAGGAACCGAGCCGCGAGCTTGGTTGCTAGGGGAGATTTGGAAGGAACGGGTTTCCCACTCTGGGTCTGGAGCTTTTGTCTGTGGGCGTGTCTTGGTGTGGGCGTGGCTTATGGCGGCCACGCCTGCTGGGATGAGAGCACCGCTGGTTCTGTTTAAGGTTCAGGGAGGATACAGTCCCCCACTTCCACGGGAGTTCAGAAGATTAATTCCCTGTTCTGTTCACAGTCGAATACAGAAAAGCCTGAAGTCCCTCACTGAGAGACCTGTCTGGATAAGAATCCAAAACTACTCCCGGTGTGAGGGAAGAGGACTGGGAGGTGGGGCTCTGAGTCTGGACGGCTGGAGACCTGGTTTAGGATCCCTGCTCAGACATTGTTAGCGCCATGTCAACGTTGGTCTCATCACTTCAATTCTCCAAGCCTCAATTTCCTCATCTGTGAAATGGGAGTCCTAATAATGTCTATTTCACAGGGATGTGTCAGGATTAAATCTATGTGAAGACCGTGTTGAAAACTGTCTCAGAGGGAAGGCAGGGGTGTGGGTGGGTGGGTGTGGAGAGATTAACCAGGGAACATATTTGCATATATACAGAGCCCATGGACACAGGCAGTAGTGTGGTGAAGGCCTGGGAAGGTGAGGGTGGATGGGGGGTCAATGGGGGAAAAAGGACACATCTATAATACTTTTAACAATAAAGATAAATTTTGGGGGGGGGGCAAAAACTTAAAAATGTATTTATTTAGAGATCACCTCAGCCCTCTTGGAAAGCAATTTAGTTAAGATCGCTGATTGGGAGGAAAATCACGCTTTTAAAGGCAGAAGCAGAGACACCAGATTGGTGCAGAGCAGCCCCTCCATCGAAAGTGGCACAGCATAGAGACGTCGTTCATTTATGACCCCAGCACGCGAACACATGACAGAGAACCATGTGGGGAAGGTTCAGTTCAATATCCAGAACTAGAAATAGGCGAGCTCGTCCTGCTTGGTCTTGTTGGTCTGATAATTGTGCAAGGCCAAGGCCTTGTTTTCATGAGGGAGACTTTCA